CAGATACTGGAGCGGACCAGTGGTCAGCAGGTTCTGGTTGAGAAAGGTCACGTTACGGCAGTGGAGACGGACCGGGGTTCGATCGAGTGTGACTACTTTGTCAACTGTGCTGGACAGGTAAACCCAGCAAAACAATTCAGTCAAAACAGTTTTATCTTCTTGAGGAAACCTGCACACATTTTTTTATTTCTTTCTTCTAACCAGTGGGCCTATGAGCTGGGCCAGGCAAGTGAGACCAAGGTGTCTGTTCCACTCCATGGCTGTGAACACTTCTACCTCCTCACAAAACCGCTCCAGGAGCCCCTTCCAGGAAACATGCCAGGTCTCCAGCATAAAACTCACAAGAACATTTTTATTTTTTTTGTAAGATTGCACAAATGTTTCTAGAGAAAATGATCCGACTTTTTTCATTATTTGTCTCCAGTGGTAATTGATATGGATGGCAGGATATATGCACGGCCTTGGCAGGGAGGTGTTCTGTCGGGGGGCTTTGAGAAAAACCCAAAGCCAATCTTCACTGAGGGTCGCAACCAGCTGGAGGTGCAGAACATGCAGGAAGATTGGGACCACTTTGGTAAAAACAAGATGCTACAAAAATATGTAGAGACAATGTGGAATGAGGGACAATATAAAAAAAATGTAATTAATATTTTCTCCCTGTGGGGCCTCATCCTCCACTTTGGTACTAAGAACTGTACAAATATAAATTTACAGAAGAGTAGAGTTTATTTTGGTACATTTTCCAGACTTGTACTGCTGTATAGTACATGTGTACGTGCTCTAAATAAACAACCACACCTGTCTTTTTGGCCTTGACCTTTTGCAGTAATCTAAGATGGCTGCTTCGCTTTGACGCAATCATTAAAAACAGCAGCATATCACCAACTAACCTTGAGCTGTGTTGAAACAGAAGAGTGTGAACGTATGTCAAAACATATACAAAAGACGTATAAAAAAAGTATTGTTAAAAAGTAGTTTCATAAACATTGTCCTGGACAGTTTTACAAACCTGGGAAAATGTTGCTGTGTTGTAGAATCTTGTTGAATATTTTTCAACCAGATATTATGTATATAGAAAGACCTTGAACTGCAGATAAAGACTAAACTAAGACAAACATGACTGCAGTCATTATCTCTGCCTCATGACTGCTTGTCTTGTGAGAAACGCTTTTAAATACCAAAAAAGAGAGCTTTTAACTTTGCACACAAAAAGGAAGTGTTTCCTTCATTGTCTGCCTTTTTTTCTGTTTCCAGAGCCAATGCTGAATGCTCTGCTGAGGAGAATGCCCAATCTAGAGTCTGCTGAGATCCATCAGCTGGTCAACTGTCCAGAGTCCTTCACTCCTGATATGCGCTGTCTAATGGGTGAGACACCCGGGGTTTCTGGCTACTACGTGCTCGCAGGGATGAACTCGTCCGGTTTGGCTTTTGCTGGAGGAGCTGGCAAGTAAGTATTGTATATGTACAACTTTATATAAAAAATACAAAACATTAATGACAACATCTTCAGAGCTTCTAAGTATAGTTGGACAGCAAATTTTCTATATTTAGTATTTATTTTGACTGGAACACAATTTGGTGTCGTTTGTGTTTGAAGGAGTATGAAACTCTAATTCAGTACATGCAGCATAAAGCAACACTTATATATAAATCTAGTGATTATATTTTACTATAATTCAGTACCTGTGGCTTAAAGCAACACTTGAAGAAAAACTTTTACACAGCTATAAATCTAGTGATTATATTTTACTATGGTTTTAATTTGGAGGGATACGTTGTATTTTTTTTTTTTTTTTGTGAAGGTACCTTGCCGAGTGGATGACCTACGGTTATCCGACTGCCAACGTTTGGCCACTGGACATCAAACGCTTTGGTAATCTGCAGAGCAGCCGGACTTTCCTGAGACACAGAGTGATGGAGGTCATGCGTGAGTTGGGGATTTTTACTTGGTCTATTCCCACTGATTGCCCTGTTTTTCTCTGTTGTTGTACTGAGTTAATAAATTGCCCCGGAAAGACGGTAAAGTGAAAAATGCTAAACACAATATTTTAATGGATCCAGACATTCAGGGTATTTGTGTGTCTGTGTGTGTGTCCAGCTCTGCTCTATGAACTGAAGGTCCCTCGCTGGGACTTTCAGACTGGGCGTCAGCTCCGGACCAGCCCTCTGTACGACCGCTTGGACACTCAGGGAGCGCGGTGGATGGAGAAACATGGATTTGAAAGGCCCAAATATTTTGTTCCCCATGGAAAAGGTACGGATTTCCCAACAGCAGCTGTGTTTCTTGTGTAAATCATGATGAACCTGGTGCATGTTTATCCAACACTGTTGATAAATGATCATCATTGTACACTGAAGGTCAACAGCACTGCACAGTCTGTTAAAATAGCTTTTAGAGAAAAGTGCTTGGAATGATTGGACCTAATACAGTAGGTCACAGGAAAGAAAATAACAATTTGACATTTCCTGTCAACATTGCATCATTCATTTTTCGACTTTGCGATTCTCAGACCTCCTGTCTCTGGACCAGAGTAAGACCTTCTACAAACCCGACTGGTTTGACATTGTCGGGGCGGAAGTGAAATGCTGCAAAGAGGCCGTGTGTGTCATTGACATGTCGTCCTTCACAAAGTTTGAGCTGACTGTAAGTCTCTGTGGTGATGTATCCCAGAGAAAGCACTTGTTTCTTCTTCGTCTAACTGTTTTTTTTTTCATTGTTCTGATCTTCCAGTCCACCGGAGACCAGGCCCTGCAGCTGCTGCAGCATCTGTGTGCTAACGACCTGGACGTCCCCGTCGGACACATCGTCCACACCGGCATGTTGAACGAAAGAGGAGGCTACGAGAACGACTGCAGCGTGGTTCGCATCAGCAAGAACAGGTTTGAACAGTTGTTTAAAAAAATAAAAATAAAATCAACTCTGTACATCTGCACTTCTAAAATAATAATTCATCTGTGCTCTGTGCAGCTTCTTCATCATCTCTCCCACAGACCAGCAGGTCCACTGTTGGTCCTGGATCAAGAAACACATGCCAAATGACCCACAGCTCCACCTAGAGGATGTCAGCTGGAAGTACACAGGTGAGCACAGCAGTGTTGCTTAGGTGGCCATCTGCCGCGAACACAGAGGATAAAAATCCAGTGTCATCACTTTCTGTCTTCACGGTGACCTGATTCTGTTCATGACATAACACTGATGGGATGGTGATCAACAATTACAACAGAATAATTATTTTTGCAGTGTTAATGTCCTAACTGCCTGAAGGGAAACAGAATATGATTTTACAGTAGTCATTAAGCGTCATTTCTCTGAATGTCTTTCCAAGTACTTTGTAGTCAAACAATTCAAGTTTGTTGTTTGATTAGTCACACTTTAGCTGTGGATTCATTAGTAATTATTATTACTAGCGGTATGACAACCTGAGGTTGAAGACTCCAAACAACTACTGGGCGCTGAGATGGCATTTGAAGCTGTAGGTCCTTCAGTAAAACGAAAATATTTCAACATGTATGAAAGTATGGAATTACCGCAATTAATGTGTGACTTCTAACACATGTCTGACATAACATGAGCTGTGATGAGCTCTGTTCAAAACAAATCCAATTCATTTTCACATTGCTGTTTGTTTCACCCTCAGCTTTGAATCTTATTGGTCCTCGTGCCATGGATGTTCTGGCTGAGCTGTCGTATGTTTCCATGACTCCAGATCACTTCCCCTCAATGTTCTGTAAGGTAAAAACCCAGACTATACAGACTATATTAAAAACCCCTAAAACTGATCCACTGATAATTATTACATAGTCTGGTAATAATTATTTTTAATTATTTTAACAATATTATCAGGGACTGTTTTTGATTGTGTATTAATGTGTGTGTGTGTGTGTGTGTGTGTGTGTGTGTGTGTGTGTGTGTATTGACAGGAAATGAGTGTGGGCTACGCTAATGGGATCCGAGTCATGAGCATGACCCACACGGGGGAGCCAGGCTTCATGCTCTACATACCTATAGAGGTGAGGGACCGAGACACACATCTGCCTTTTTCCAATGAACAATGTTTTTTTTTTTTTTTTAAAGTTCAGTATTCTGAGTTGACACCACCTCTTCCTGCAGTATGCTCTGCACGTCTACAACGAGGTGATGTCTGTGGGTCAGAAGTACGGGATTCGCAATGCAGGCTACTACGCTCTGCGCAGCCTGCGCATAGAGAAGTTCTTTGCTTTCTGGGGTCAGGACCTGGATTCTTTCACCACCCCACTGGAGTGTGGACGAGAGTTCAGGGTCAAGTTTGACCAGGTTTGTACCCGGTTCAGCTGTAACAAGTGGCCGTTTGGTCCAGGGCAGGAAATGAACAGCTCAGGAGGGCCAAAGGGGTATTCATGGAACATTGATTGTCTGCATGATCCTTAAGCAACAGTTTTGGAAAAAAAACAAAACTAAGTAGATGTAAAAAATAATCTTTAGAAATCTACAAGTTTGTCTCAAAATGAGAAGTTATGTTTTCAAACAATATGAATTTGCATAAATGTAGTTAAAATATTTTCACGTCCCCATTAAAATGATTAAAATTCATGTAAAAAATACAACAACAAATAACTGTAAAAGCTAAGAACTTTATCAACCTCCGACATCACTGACATAAACAAAGTAAAGGCAGAATGGAACATTAAACAGCAGCAGACTGAAGAATCACATATAGAGTCATTGAGTACAACTATTTAAAAAAATAAATAAATAAATAACATTGACGAGGCCATGAAATCCAGAGGCACTACATTATTTCCCCACAGATTTGACCGACACTGATCCTTTTTATTCTTCTAAATGATGACACTCAGATGTTCTCCATCTAGTTTTACGTAAATCCTTGTTAATTTTTACAGCCCAACAATAACCAGGTTTACATCATGTTCTTCGCTGAAGCCTTTGATTCATGTGCACGTTTTGTGACAATAAAAGAGAATGTGCCACCTGCAGGCAGACAGGTGGCGTTCTACGGCGCCAGTGATAAAGTTCACTTGAGCTGTGTGCTGCTCTCACCCTTAATGACTTATGAAGGAAGTGTGTTTGAAATTAGTTGTGGCAGGAAGTGGCGTTGTTGTTTTCTTTCTGCTAAATCCTCTTCGTGTCGTTTCCTCACATCAGGACACGGACTTCCTCGGTCACAAGGCGTTACTGCAGCAGCGTCACGACGGCGTCTTTCGGCGATTCGTCATGCTGGTTCTGGACGATCACGACACCGAGTTGGATCTGTGGCCGTGGTGGGGGGAGCCCATCTACCGCAACGGTCAGCTGGCCGGAGCAACGACCAGCAGCGCCTTCAGTTACACGCTGGAGCGTCACGTCTGCCTCGGATACGTTTCTCCACCGCCCGGAACCGAAGGCGCTGCCACGCCCATCACTCCTGACTTCATCAACCGTGGGGACTATGAGGTGGACATCGCTGGCCAGCGCTACCCAGCCAAAGCCAAACTCTACCCTTTTAGTTCTCTTTTTACCCAACAGAAACGTCGCAAGGAAGACATGGAGCTCAGCAACCTCCATGTGAAGTGATGCAGAAGTTAATAGAGAAAAAAACAAAACAAAAAAAAAACACTACTTTCTTTAGTGTCAATATCGATGTGCACCAAATCCAGTCCTACACCCAGGCCCGGGTCATTCTTTCCATACTACTTTGAAGTCGAGTCAGAGGTTAATTTCTGTTGTGTGACCTTTGACCTTGACCACTCAAGGAAGCATGGGGCAAACTGAAACATCATGAAGTGTCAGGCCCCGTAAAGCGATTCAATTAATCACTAAATTCAAATAATATATAATTAATTTAATTGCGGGTATTAATTATTTTTGTAATTGATTGGATTAAACCTTGGCCTTGACCACAAAAAATATAAAATTTAAATATATCGTTATTGAAATGACTATGCTACAAAAGTGTATATAAAATACCCAGAGATATATAGAAAAAACACTAACATGAAAATACATATAAAAAAAAATACAGTTTTTTTTTTCTTCCCACATTTTGAAGCGTTTCCACAATCAAACACTTTTAACCTTCGAGATCTGGTCTCTTCTGAAGTGGCTTCATGTTCGTGGAGCTCCAGGGTCGCGTGCAGCAGAGACATGAATTAAATGATGCTTTGATTTAGAAAAAATGTTGTAATTATTTTCTTAATTGGTTCATTGTGGATAAGTCAAGTAATCATTTCTATTCAAATTTCTTGATCAGTTCTGAGTATGCATGCACGGAACCACATGTCAAATCCCAACTTTCTTTGCGCCTGCGTTACGGTGCAGGTAGTTTTTGGAGACGCTATTTTGAAAATGACCCAGGCCTGACCTTGCAGTGCCAACATATCTCTCTCTCCTCCTTTTAAACCCAGAGAGCTGTTGGTTCAATCACTCCATGTCCCACATACAGTACATGTAAGTTCAACTGTATCATTGTATCTCTCTCCTTTTAAGTGCAATATATTTACAGAAACTGAGTTCTCATGGAAATTGAGCTCATCAATGTCAGCACTTCTTTTTGATCCCTGTTTTTTGTTTTGTTTTTCCTTTACACTCGGAGACTCGTTCAGTGGAAATATCTGCAGTTAAGTGCCTTTGTCAAGGTCACACCATCGCTGGCTCTTTTCCGCTTTTCACTCAGTTCACTTTAACTCACCAAGAAGGGAAAATGCTTCAGACCGACAACGTTCTGTAGTCACAGACACTGTGCAGTCTGAAGTAAAGAAAGACAAACTCACTTGGTTTAGAATGCAGAAGATGGATAGAACCAGGTGTTTTTGCTGCTGTAAAGAATGTGTGTGATGTGATTTGACATCATACACATTAATGAAGAAAAACGTCGTCTTCCTAACCTGGGGAGAAAGATGTAATTCATTTAGAACTGTTTGTTTTGTTTGCCGCCCATCACTCCTCCTACATGTTATCTCTTATGAAAGTCTTCCCACACTCTAAAAAGCCTTATCTTATATATGTTTTCAACAACTCACTCCTTTTTTTTAATTTTTACAGTTATCTATTTCAACCTGTTATTCGTGCTGTGATGTTTTGATCTTTCGTTGATGTGCAGTTAAATATTTGTCGGTTTTTGAGTGATCGATAGTTAAGGGAAATTCCAAATGGGTAGACATCAGCAGGAGTTATAACTGAGGTGACAGTCGGAGCCAAAAACAAAAAAAAAAGAAAAGTCTAACTTTGATGATCTGTAGAGTTTCTTTGGCCCGGAGTTTTGATGTTTGTGTAAAGAATGGACTACAATGTGGAATAAAGTCGTGTATTTTTGTACAGCTAGTGTTTTTATTTAAATGACTAGAAGTATGACCTCATCATGATGCTCACAGCCCCTCCTCTTCACCAAGGCTAATGCAGCAGCGGACAAATCGTGGTCCAGATTGCTTCCTTAGGTGTAACCCAAACTTATTATACTGTTTGTATCATATCTAAAACATGTTTTGTTGACTTTTGGACAACGTGAAGAGAAATGTTTCTATCAGATGTTTCATGAGTGTCCTGTGTTTGTAATCTGTGTATTATGTGTGTGTTTCTGATATAGCTATACCTGTGCTACTGTTTGTAGAGACAGTCCTCAGGGTATATTGAGGTTCAAGAATTAGTTTGGAGTTAGAATTATAATAAGGGTTAGAAGAAGTGGGGAAACGTAATGCAGTTCTTTATGTAGTTCTCACAAAACACAGAAACGTGTCTGTGTGTGTTTCCTGGATGTAGACTTCATTTTGTTTCTGCCAACATCACTGCACTAATGAACATCAGCCACGTGACTGTGGTGAGACTGAAGATTTATGAAAGTGTCACAAACCCCAGCAGAAACTGCACACACACACCTGTTCTCAGCTCATCATTACCACAATCTAATTTTACCCATAAATAATTCATGGTCAACACAGAGCTACGACAGCAAGAGCAGGGAAAAAAAACACTTTATTATCCAACAGTGACAACAACAACTTTTGCAGCACATCTTTGTTCACAAATCACATCCTTCTGGCTTTGCGTGGGCGGCATCCATTGTGTGGCACAGGTGTGTTGTCTGTGATGGAAACCACTTTCAGGCCTCCCATTGCCAACCCTTTAATGGCAGCCTGCAGAAAAAAAGGTGAAATAATGACTTGACATGAACAACTCAAGATGTCACCTTCCATTGGTATTCTTAAAGTGTACTGTGTCAATCAGCATTACAACATTTAAACATCAATTCAAGTGATTATGTGCTGTTGACAAGAATACGTACCTGTCGCCCAGGACCGATGCCTTTGACAACAACACGGACAAACGTTACTCCTTTTGATGCGGCTTTCTGTGCAGATGAACAGACAGGATTGAAACGACAAAGGAGTTACACGTGAAATTCCTTTAAATCAAACCGTGATACTTAAATTTAACCAATGAATAAAAAAAAAAATATATATATATAAGATTCCTTTAAATCAAACTGATACCTAAATTTAACTGAATTGAAATAATAATAATAATAAAATATATATATATAAAATGAACAGGTACAGTGTAGATGTCAGCCATTAACGACAGACAGAAACGAAAGCCATCAATACTACAGTATATTATTAATAATAATAATTACTTCCTACAGTAAGCAATGGTAGTGCATTTAAGCCGTTTACTTTTCAGACTTTGTTTCATCACCTTCTTTAACCCTCCACAGAAACTAAAAAATAAAATAACATTTTAAGAGTCATTGCTTCACGATGTAAAAACAACACTTTTATGACCTTATGCTCGAATTGAATTTCTGAAGTGTGTTTACTGTGGGAGAAAAACTCGAACCTTAACACTATTTGACCGCAGCCTTTTTGAGTGGGGCTAGTACAAGGCCTAATCATGCATTTAAGTGGCAGCAGCAAAAGCAGCAGCAGCTCCACTCCGTCATTGTCTGAGCAGAGAGGCAGCTCATTTACACAAACATTTCACTTTCAGAAAATACAGGTTGTTAAAGAGACAATGGGAGCAGCTGGGCCTGTAATAACAGTCAGAACACAATTAAAATAGACCTTCCTTCCAACCCAGAGGCGAGAGCCGTGGCTGTCATCAATACTTCTACTGACCATGACACTGAGCCTCCGTGCTGCTGCCCTAGAGGAGCTTCACAGAAACTCACCATGGCTGTAGCAATGCCTGTAGTCTGAGCAGCTACTGGGGTCGACCGCTTGATGTTCTTAAAACCCTCGGCACCGCACGAAGTCCTCGTTAATGACTTTCCCACGCCGTCTGTCAGCTGGATGTGTGTGCTAGAACAGAGGTACAAGTTACAGTCATGGACACTGACTCAGACAGTCAATAAAACACCACGACTACCTGTGTTTGCCTGTGTGTGAAAAAGTTTAGGTGACTTGACTTATATATTTGGCTGCATATATGGATAAAATAACAGGGTTCATAACCTTTACATATTAATGAGTATTTAAGTCTTCTTTCTATTATAGAAAAAATACTATATTAAGTGTGTACTTACTTGTTATATGTGGCCTTAATGTGGATGATCGGTAACTCTTCATACTTCTGTCCTGCCCACCTCAGAGGACTTTCGTCACACGGTAGTGGAGGTAAACGTCTATATGATAGAATATAGGATTAAAATAAAATAATAATTTTGACACTGGTCTGTGAAGACTCGTTATTGGATTTAGAAGTGAAGAAAAATCTGACCTTAATGGATCTTTCGTTGGCTGTTTGGCAGTAGTGGTCGCTGAGCTCTCCTGGAGTCTGACAGCGCTGCTACACAGTGTTCGTTGCAGCCCCCTGTTTCAACATATGAAATGAATGCAATCAAACTGGCATCAATTCTTATGTAAAAAGTTAGTCTCTTGACATGCCACTAAATTAATGATGCTCGACAGGTACCATGCTGACAAAATACTCAAATTACCCCAGCTAGCTTAAAACTAACAACAATTCTGGTATAACAGATCAAAGAAATACTTACAGCGCGCTACCACTTGTATTCACAGACGAAACTAGTTGGCGACATACGTTACTAATAGAGCCAAATAATACAGTATTAAATGTGAACATGATAGCAAGTATAAGGGTATGCTACTTTTCGCATAACAAACGTGATTAACAAGTATAAGGGTAGACACTATGCTACTTTTCGCATAACAAACGTGACATTGAGGATGTTGCTACGACTAAAGACCATACCACTTCGTTTTCTTTCTGGGCATAGAAAACCAACACGAGCAATTCGATTATATAAAAATACAGCAAGTGCGTTGATAAATAAAGCTTTAATGGTGGGCGTTAATTGTGTGGAATTTATTTTTATTCCCATTATAAATGTTTCCCCCCCAAATATTTAATATATGTTGACGAAAGAAACCTCCGTCTCAATCGAATGGACTGTTCCGGATTCTAAAAGGGATTGTGGGTAAATGCTGCTTTCAGGTTCCTCCCAAAAACTGGGTTTAAAAACAAGTAAGCCAAGGCAGGCCTGCTATGTCCAATGTAAATTATGTTTCTTATGTACATTACAGTTTAAAATGTAAAAGAAAATCCCTCAAAATTACACTCCAATACATAACAATACTGTCAAATGAATATATTGGGCACGGAATTCACTTTCATTCCAATGATTACCTTCTCTGACTAACGAGAGTCTTGCTTATTTGTATTGTTATTGAATGCAACACAAGAGGAACATGGCTGCGCCGTGTGTAGGAATTGTGGGTCGACCACTGCTACACGTTCTGCCTCGTTTTGGAAGAACAACGGCACGAATTTGTCACTTTTCGTATGTCTCTGCTTATCGATCGCCTTTAAAGACCAAGGGTGTGATAGAAAGTAAGAGTTCACCATGGAATTTAATGGCGGCGGTGTGTCTGCAGAGGCTCCCGGTCATATCAGCCGAGCACAGCCCGATAGAGCAGCAGTTCAAGCAAATGATGGAGCAGGTTTGTTTGTTCACATTAAGAGTCTTTTCTGTTTTTAGTGTCTTTTGCATTTTAATTATATAAATATTTTTTAAAATTTAAAATTTCCTTGATATTATATGAAAAGTTTTTGTCTGCGCAGAATCATGGGTAAATACTGGGGATGTCCGATATTAACTTTTTGCCGATATCCGATATGCTGATATTGTCCGAACACTTAATTTCCGATTTCGATATCAACCACAAACCATGGGGAGTTGGGCCGGATCCCAGCTGGCTTGTTAAAAGTTCTCCAGAGAAATAAAACATTATAGAATTCTAAGAACTCCTAGTAATATTTATTTATTTATCTGTACAAACCACTGTATGAATATGAGATTCAAAATGCCAAATGCCTGTTCTGTTAGAGTTCCTCAAATGTTTTGAGTGGTTGTGGTTGCTGTGGTTTCTTAGAATTCTTAGAATATTTTATTTCTCTGTGGAACTCTTAACAACAAACTAGCTGGGATCCAGTCCAGCTCCCCGCTGCACCTAAGACAGGATTAATTAATAGAAGATAAATAGATGGACTTAATAATCATCATCCAAGACAATAAGAGGGAAAAAAAAGGCCTTGGTAAACATCAACTACCCGGCAACTTCTTATTTCAAACATCTGGGACTTTTTGGCAGCTGAAAAATCACTGTTGCCAAATAATATACTTCCAGTTATATTTCTCTGGAGTATCTTTGCTGTCTGTCTGTTTTATTTTCCATATATATTAGTGAGTCATAGAATACTCTCAGTGAATGTAATCATGAACAGTGAGGTTGCATAAACAACTTCATTAACCTTAGTCACTGGCAGACATGTGCGAAGAATTTCTTTGTTTTAAACATTTAGAAATATATTTCATTTACATTTAAAAAGTAATATTGTCATGTGTTTTTTTTACTGCAGCAGTACACATGTTTGCAAACATTACAATATTGCCTTCAATATTTTTACAGGTGGAACAGGAGAAGAGTCTGCTTTCAGACCACGAGATTCGGCTCTTAGAGGATGCAGAGAGGGTCATTCGTAGGCAGGCAGATGACTATGACTCTGATGACGAGGAAAGTGGCGACCAGGAGATTGTGTTTGGTCATGATTTGGAAGACTCCTGGGAGCAGAATCTTAAGAACTTCCATCCAGCACAAAGGACAAAAGGTCACCGTCTAATATTTATAAAGTTGTAAACTAGTTGAAAATAACATTTTAAACTGATGTCAGGCAGTGAATATTTTAGTCTTTTGTTCTGCCCTATTTTTAATATGAAACACAATGTAGGACAAAAAATGAAATATAAAGTTTTGGTTTGATTGAATTGTTATTGGTTGAAGATATGAAACACAATGTAGGTTTGATTGAATTGTTATTGGTTGAAGGCACTTTTTCCAACATCAAGTGCCTTCAATTCAAGTCCAACCAAAAGACGAAAGCTCCTATAAAAGTGCTGACGGGCTTGGTGTCTCTGTGTCCTGTGTAGCCGATGAAGATAAGAACATGTCCTCAGTGCAGCGCTGTCTGGCCGACTCTCTAGTTCTTCTGGCCCAGCAGGAGGTTGGCAGTGAGAAGCTGTGGCTGCTGCCGCAGGCTCAGTGGCAGAAGGGAGAGACATTGAGACAGACGGCTGAAAGAGCTCTCGCCTCACTCTCAGGTAATAACAAAGAAAGGTAATGTAAGTTTGGTTTTAGGGCTGTGCTCTAAAACCAAACTCTGGACAGTCTGGAAAATAACTTTTTCCCCCTAAACCGTCCTTAAAAATCTGATTTCTGGTGTTGAACTTGTCAATATATTTCAAAACTGTATTTTGCCTGCTCACAGCGAAGCAGTTACCGTACTCTAGCTCTTCAGACTACGTCTTATTTTTCATTCTGTGCTTGAATCACCCATTAACTTCTTCAGACAGTCTTATGTAAAACTAAGTGGCACCTCCACTGTAGAACCTGAGTCATTTCCAGGTGTTGCGTTTGCATATTTCCTCCAGGTTTGTACAGATATTCAGATGGTAGATGAGAAGTCACAACCCCAGTGGGTGCCATATGCAGTAAGTTAGCCTCGGGAGAACAGCAAGTCCTAATAGTAGCAACTAACTGTGGCACATCTCCTGTCACTGACGGTCCATCAGATGCACTCGCGTCAGACTTCAGGTTCAAGTTTGGATGCGTCTATTTACACACTGATTTAGAAGAATCTGCATCTACGCCTTCACTGAAGACGCAGTGATTTAGAAGAATCTGCATCTACGCCTTCATCTCACAGACAAATGTGTGGGTATGTGTACAAATACGCTGACATTTACTCAGCCTGGCATGCAGACTGTAACTACAGATGTTTCAACACAGACTGCAAAGGAGGGCCGTATTTAATTAGGTTCGACAGGAAGCGTTTTACTTCACTTGGTCTTGTCATGGAAACACACACACACACACACATACTGTTTTTTTATGTTTTGTGTACCCTTCATGCTGTTTTAAATATCCTCTAATTCTAATTCCTAACTCGGAACTAAATCACTCAGTAGGTGGCTGCAAAAAAATCCTCATGAGGACAAATTGTCTCCACAACAATGCTGTCCCCACATTATAGCTGTAGCAGGTGTACACACACACACACACACACACACGTTGCCGTTGAACTGTTGATTGGCAGCGACTCAGTAGCTCAAGTCTTTTCACTGAGAAAAATTAATGCAATGAATAGAAATAGAAATGTGGCCTTAGGTAATTGCCTCGGCTACATTTTCATTAGTCAATGTAGATTTCTTCTTTACTTTATGTTCAAGAGTAAAAAGAAAAAAAAATCTCATTAAAAGCTCTGGCAATGTCAGGTTTGTCATTTTGTCCCACAAGTTTTTAAGTGCATTACCAAAATAAAAATAAATAAATATATAAATTGATAGTTTAATTCACTTCATCAGAAACCTTATCACATGACCTTCACAACATAGAGAATATTTTGATTGAATTCAGACTCATCTAGTATTAAAGGTGTATTTGAACAGAACAATGAGAGAGAGAAAAAGGAAGACTTTCTCACATGCTAGTTAGTTTTAACCTTGTTGTTGACTATTATTGTGACAAATTTATCAATCACTTCTTTTGAAGACTTTTTCTCTTGACACGTTCAGTGCAGAGCTGCAGTAGGTTTTGAGTATCTGGCAGTAGCAGGGTCTGATCCATCTTTAATAAAACTGGACTCAATGGGAGCAAAAATCTCCAACACGGCCGTTGTAGTGTCTGACTCTGCCTGTCGAGCCAACCAGTGTCGTGGGTTTTAGATGACTCTGGATTGGATTAAAACTTAATTGAGGCAAATGTGTTGTTGCTCCAACAGAGGATGAGAAGAAGTGCATCGTGGGTAAAATGTAAAAACATTAAAATGCAGTGAATTTAAACTGTGTGCTTCAGGAACACGTTCCTGGTCTGCACAACGGCTCAAAGCTCCAAAGTGCTAGCTTGTCAGCTCAGCCTTTGTCTGTGGCTATTTGTACTCACAGCCCATTCTCTGCCCACAGCAGGTTTAGATGCAACTTTCCTCAGCAACGCCCCCTGTGGAGTGTACAAGTACAAACTGCCCAAAGCTGCTCGGACGGACACTTCCATCGGAACCAAGGTGTTTTTCTTCAAAGCCATTCTGTCTCACAGCGATGCCTTCGCAGCCCAACACTGTCCTGTAATGTGGCTGAAGAAAAGTGAACTGCAGGGCTTTCTGAAACCAGCTTACATGTTGACGGTCGACCGCTTCATCCTTGACCTGTGAACCCGAAACAGGTTAAGGTCCCAGAAAAAAACTGTGGATTACTTATGTGTTGTCTTGTGTCATTGAGAATCAATCAGACATGTGCTGTACAGTATGTTTCATTCTAAAAATAAACATTTTTTTTCCCACTGTCTTTGTTTCATCACTGTTCATTTCAAAATGTGCAGTGCGTGACTTCTGGTACCGCGGCCCGGTGACGCCGCACCAGACCACAGCCATATCCTGTAGCTGTGCTGCAGTGCAGTGCTGGCAAGTCAGCACTCTGAGGTCTGTAGGTCTGTATCTTGGTGCGCCTCTCCGTTGCACGTCCTCTCCTTGGGCCCGGCTCCAACTAATTTACGGCAACATGTACGTGTCGACTCTAGCGAAATCCGACCATAGATCTATAAACGGCTGGATGGAACGTTGGTCCGTCATGGGGAAGCTGGATTGGCCACCTCCATGCAGATTCATGGTGGTCGTCTTGACAGAACTCCATCCTGTATTTACATCTGTGAAGCCGACGGCTGTTTAAGGACCGTTCTTGCTCATTCTCAAAGTAAAACTATCTATTTATCTATGACCCTGGGGATCGGGCAACATTGTCTTAATATAGATTTAATACTAAATATTACACAAAGATATGACCCTGGGGATCGGGCAACACTGTCTTAACATATTTTTAATACTAAATATTACACAAAGATATAAGAAAGATTAAAATATATATTGGTCTTGTGTGTGTGCTGGCTGCTTTGATTTCAGTGAGAGAAAATACGGACGTCTGAGGCTGATTTCTTGTTTTGGGCTTTGACTGTGTCAGTGCCTCAAATTCCCTCAACTCCAAAAACTTTGTGCCTCAAATTCCCTCAACTCCAAAAAACCTAGACCTGACTTTGAGTGTCATTCTTTTGAAGTCCATGCACCGTATAATACCCTCAGTCAAGAGTCTTGTTTGTGTTCTGCTAAACGTCAAATCTCTTCTCACAGAGGTTATTTCTTTTTCTCGATGTCCATCAGTCATGAGCTCTGTGGGATTCAAAAAAATGCAGCACTCGTAGCAGCATCAACAAAAGGCACCGAAATGCTTCAGTTACCGTTCTGGTCACTCACTGTGTGGAGGAGCCCCGAATAGGACAGTGGATGGCAGTGTTTGCACGTCGGCAGAGAAGTACTCTGAGCTGTATAATTATGTCTGTGTGTGACCTCAGGAGGGGGACTGCAGAAAGAGCTTTTGTGATCAGCTTGGCTTCCTCCCACTCATACTGAAAATATCCATCATAGCAGGCTAATGTTCCATCGCAATAGCAACGATAATTCGTCTTAGGTAAGAGCATTCTGATGTTTCCGTACCCATTCTCTGCCTCTGATCAGCGTGTTCCTTTTTTGTGCGTCTGCTGGGACAAGGAGTTATAAATGTCGGAGACATTGGCATTAGATCTTTATTTCCCGGGGTTGTTGAAAGCACCGGCCGAGCTGTTTGGTAGATTGGTTGAGGGTTCACACTCTCACTTTGTAATGAGTCATGAGAGGTGAAGGTCGAGGCAAGCCGATAAAGGCGTAGCTCTAAACACTGGACAATTTAGGTTTACCGTTCTGCAGCGGGCCCACAACGGCCGCCTGCACTCGACTCTTAGCATCTGATGTCAAATCAAGGTTTAATCACAGATACAGAAAGTGCAACAGTTGATGAGAGTGTCGGCATCAATCATGACCTCATCACTACAGGTGTCGTTGTGTACCCACCACCGTACGCTACACTGGAGAAGTCTGGACACGGAAATGTGTGTGAGAGAGAGTTCACTACACACAGTATGTGCTTAGGTTTGACCCATGTCTCACCTTTCAAACATAGACCACATGCTGTAGTGTTGTCATCATGGATCCAGGTTTAGTCAACTGTTGCCACATTGTTCCTGGGTCCCTGAGGAGCAGCTAGCCGGCTAGCGTTATCTTTGCTTTACTGTGGAAGACTTTACTTTCAACCATAGTCTGCCCACAAGCATTTATTGATTTTTTTTAACTGATTTTTTTAAACCAAGAAGTCAAAGTCGGAGTTCCATCTAATTTTGTGGCCTTAAACAAATGTTTGTCTCAACTAGGTCTTGGCTGTGACAGTTTGATCCTCCGCAACAGAATGACCAACCTGAGACATTGAAAAGGGGGGGCAAAAGAAGAAGGATTCTAGGGGCCCTTGATTAAGGCCCTCTATAAAAATTATAATAGTGACATGAATATGAATATGACCCTAAGCTGAATGTGAATGATGTTAAAATACCATCAAAATGCTTAGTTTTATGTCAAATATCGGCCGAGTTAGGCAGCCAGTGAAGATTATTTTCATGGGCCCCAAAAGTCCAGGGATCCTCAGGCTCATGCAGCCGACCATGTTCTTCCTCCCATGCACCTGATGGGCAGCTTGGTGTGATCTGGTGCAAATGCTTTTTTCTGTGTAGTGTATCTGTTGATTAGGTCAATAAAATATCTTACGCTGATAAAGATCTCTGCTGATAAAATATCAGTGTAAGCCAATCAGAAATCGAATTAAGGACAAAAAACACATCAACATGTGCCACTCAGAAGAAGGAGAACCACGAAGTCTCTGGAAATGATTCAGGACAAACGTAACTGATGAGGACGTTATTTTCATGTGTCTTGGTTGCACATCTTTCATAAACATTATATAACATCAACTCAAAAACAGCGAAAGGCTCAAACAGTTAAACGACAACACAGTTGAGTGGTGAGTTGTTGTCAGGCTGAGAGCAGCGTGTCTGGCCTTTCGTAGCCAAAGAGCTTGAAGTCTTTCTCGTAGATCTGGTACAGCTTCTCCCTGTCCTCCAGAGGCACGGACCGGAACCAGTCCAGCATGGAATTAGGGGAAGTCACGTTAACACGGACGCTGGGAAACTTGATGTCATTTTGTAGCTTTAGGATCCTGAGCAGATGTTCAACATCCTCCTGCATCGTCTCCTGATGTCCTATGAAGTCGTACCTTTGAAGGAGGTGAAGAATATGAAGAGGACAGTCAGGTGAAAACAGCATACATTTAAAAAACATTTTCAGATGTAGTTCTGGAAGTGTGTGGTCGTTCTAATCACTGGTGCTGCGGACACGTGTGACCTTACTGTATGAGGCAGGGTTGGCACAACCGATGCATCTGTTTCCAGTGTTTGTTGTTAAGAGGCGTTTGCGGGTCCAGCAGATACTGAATGAAGTTGTGAAACGAGACTCGCATGCCTAAGGCAAGGGCTTCATCCAGATTTTGTGGTGGATCGGAATGGTTGCCATAGAGACGTATGATGTGTTGGCCATATGCCATGTAAAAGGGTTTGTTATACCTTCCAAACTTGTCCCGGTAGGCAGAGACGATACGGACAAATGGGTCGCGGACAAAGAGGAACTTTGTGTAGTGCTTCAATTTTGCCTACAAGGAGCAAAAAAACCAACAGAAAACCACATCAACCCTTTTCATGCTGGTACTGTTTTAATGGCGTTAACTATATGCGGAACTGACCTTGATCTCATTTTTGGGGAAACTGTTTAGAAAAGTGAGGTTTTTGAGGACATGGACGTTTCCAGTTACGCTCAGGGGGTCTTCGTATGGCTCCCCCTTTTTCAGCACCACCATTACTCTCTTCAAGTTGGTGCACGCAACCTGTTGATATGATAATTACTTTAACCTCTTCGTTTTTATTCTCAGGAGAAAAAGGTTCAGAATGACTTAATTGTATCTTAGTCTTAATCTCGACTCAGTCAAACATTTTTTTATACCATAAAATTAGATGCAAATCTGTTTGGTTTCCTGGTTTATACAATAAAAAATGTGAAATTCTATTAATAATATATGTTTTACTGAAATTATTTATTGAACACTAAATATTTTTATTTATTCTTTCATGTATTAAAAATGTCTAAACAATTCAAATTGTCCTCTGTAAAGAGATGGAAATCAGCATTAGTTGACAAAACACCTGTCGAAGGCCAGTTCTATACAACATTGTTTATATGATTTTATTCCACCTATCGGTTTCCATCTGCCTGGCCTCGCCTATAGCCCCCCCCCCACCTTTGATTGGCTGTTGATCATCATACAGTATGGTGAACATGTCCACACTGTCGTGTCAATGAATACTTCTTCTCAGAGAAAAGACGATCGTTGTGAATTTACAGCATACAACGAGAGAAAATAAAAATAAATCTAGAGCTACTAGAATCCATCAGGATTTGTTGTGACTACCTTTTGTCTGCACTTTCGCATCAGCCCTTCAACATTACATACACTGAGCAAGAGATGCAGGTCTACACACACACACACACACACAGTCAGTCATTAGCAGCCGGGTAGAAGACTTCAAACCGGCACCAGGCAGTTTTACTGAATCAGCAAAGTCTTTTCCAGGCAATGATTTCAAAGCAGGGTTTGAAGCAGCACAGAGAGACGGGCAAAGATGAAGAGTGTGGAGAAAGCAGCTGACCAGGAGAAGTTGGTGGGTTTTTTTTTTAAGCAGATGAAAAACACATCATGCTCAGTTTGAAATTAGACGATGTCTAGCAGTGCCATTGGGACCTGGCTGAAGTTTGCAGTTTGCTGTCTGGAGAACCCTGGATTGATGACTAAAATGATGTATTTTGAAAAAAAACAAAGAGGTGAAATCAGCATTAGAAACTAAAACTGTCTGTAGAGATTTTATTAAGATCATATTCCTTTCAAATGGCGATCGAGAAGCAGGTAAGCTAACGGCTATGTTAAAAAGTTTGCATCTTTTGTTCTCTTTAGCCGGGCTGTAAAACAGAAAAATACTGGAGCTGAATTTCGCTGCGTCAGACTCCTCTACCAACTTCACCTCTCTGTATTTTTACATTTGGTACTTCAGTATTTGGAGAGTGTTCTGTGTTCTCGCCAAGTGCCACTGATGTGAGGAAACACATTGTAGGAGGAAAGGAAACGAAAAAAAAATTAAAAAAAATCATAAATGCTTAAATGCCAGGGGTTTTTTTAAGGCTACAATTTGAATCACACCATGTCATATGTTGGTTGGACATTAGACATATCATTGAAATGTTCAGAGTATTACTTTAGTGTGAACATTGAACCTATTGTTGTGGGAGGAAAGTGGAAAAAATAAGTGGAA